ACATTCATTCAACTTTAAGTTTTTAGAACAATTTTTTATGCTAGCAGTAGAATAACAACAATTTACATCTCACCCAGTGCTGGAGGCAGTAGTTCTTTTTATGTGTGCAATCATCTAGGTGAGTGTTGCTTTTGTCAAAGCCACGCACAGGCAGAAAGAGGAGTAAAATCCAAACCATATCAAAGGCTTGGATAGTGGTGATGTTAATCATTCATTAGCACTGATTGACCCTTAATCATAAAACCATCTTTGTTGTCATTATTCATCTGGCATAAAATGCTAGCCTGTTAATTCAGACTCAGGATGTTGACAATAGGCGGGCTACAAAGGGCTTGGAAAGCACAGTCTCCCTCCCAATTGGTCTTTCATATGCTAATGAGGAAACTGTTTTGGGTTTACTGGCCTGGTTGGAAATGATTTAGGGCGACACCGGTGCTCTGAGGCTTTATGTTTAGGCTGGCCGCGGGGGCTCATATATCACCCTGATCATTAATCAATTAGCGTCTCCTAGCCACCTGTCGGACACATCGGCACACAAAACATTCCTGCCCTTGGGCAGTTGCTAGACGATGATCATCAGTAGCACCACTATTACCTTCCAACTCATCGACACCCTGCCCCCCTCCCCTTTATGGTAATACCCTGATGGATTACATAATCACACCCAAACACTGCCCGCAACGAAAAGGGCTTCGCTCCAAGAGAAGCAAGTGGAAACCGCCATGGTGTTTTTTTTTTTGTTTTTTTTTATAGGTCTCCCCCTCCCAACTCAACTGAAGAGTTTTTTAACATGCATTTGCCCTCCGCTGTCACAAACAGAAAAGACGGGGCAGAGAGGAATTGATGCCGACCTTGAAGGAGAATCAATAAGCTGACGGCTATTCAAAAGTGCTGAATGCACACCGACGCTGTGTCCTCCATTGTTTTAAATGCAACTGCCTCCAGCGGGGTATTGATGGTTGTTTAGTATTGATGACGTGTCACAGTAGCCAAATACATGTGAGATGGAAAGGTCTAAACTATCGGGATCTTGGTGACATTAGAGTAGGAGCAGAAAAGTGATTTTGTTTAGACTAAGATGAACTTACTGCTGACTTGGAGCAAGTCAACTTCAAACTGGACCACTAAAATAAACACGCGGTGGCTTTCCCCACTAACTGTTCATTCATCACACATTCGGCTACAATCACTAAAAGTTTCTGTAAACTTCCAGTTTCACTCAAACTGAATGGGAGAGAGAGGGAGAGACAGAG